TACTACTACTACTACTACTCTACTTCTACTTCTACTACTACTGTTGCTATTACTACTACTACGACGACGACGATGAGGAAGAGGAAAGTTGTGCTAGCAGCTGTGGTGCTGTTAGTACCGTAGTAGTAGTAGCGGAACCATCAGCGGCAGGAGTCGTAACTAGCAGGCAGTTAGCTAGCCAGCTAGCTAGTTCGTTACTCTGGCACTGAGCGAGTGGGTGTGTGAGTGAGTGAGTTGGTTACTTACTTTAAAGCTATAAGATCTCTAGTCAGCAACAGTGAGTAGGGCCGCAGGTACAGGGAAGCCTGGATCAAGAGTCGAACCATGGGCACGGGCCCCGCCGACGTTTGCGGGTTCGAACAACCCAGCTTTGCTCAAGACTGAGGCTTTTCAGGTTCAGCAATCAGCGCCTATAGCAATTCAAAGTCTGCTTCTGGGGCAGGTTAGGGCTGGGGCAGCCTTAGTTTGCAAAGCCTAAAGTTTCTGGCATTACGAGCCTGAGCATACCCAGATTCACGTGTTAGCCAAGGCCAGACCTTCACCGACCAGCGGCCTATCCTCAATGAAGCTGAAGCGTAAACCTTCCGAAACTGCACCAAATTGAAAGGTTCGATTCTTGGGGTCACAAGAGCCAAGGCACTGCAAAACGCGGATGTCACACGCACATGGAGGAAAAAACAGCAAGCATACACATTTGCACACACTCTCCTATATATATATATATACATATAGGTGTATACACACACACACACATATCAAGTGTAAGTCTATATATGTACACATATATACACATATATACGCATATATACACATATATACACATATATACACATATATACACATATATACAACATATATACACATATATACACATATATACACATATATATACACATATATATATATATATACACATATATATACCCACATATATATATATATACACATGTGTATATATATATATGGTCACACCCCACCCCCACCCCCATGATCCACCCCAGCCTTCTAGCCATCTGTTCGTCCACAGTCTTATGTCTTCAAATGTTTTTTCCGAGGTCCAGCAACCATCGGTAGTTCCGGTGGTTTCCGCACTTCACACGTACTGACCTTTACAGTTTGTGCTTGTTGGTGGTATGTGTAAACCACCCAAAGCCCAAACCGGAATCTGGTTCTGCGTCCGCGCTAATCGGAAGAAACACTTGAGCCTTGCTCAACTAACAATGACGCTGGAAACCCCGATTGTGTCTGCGTAGTTGGTGTTGTTTTCATTCATCAGAAAGCCTATTTTCAGCACAAAGAAGCAGAAGAAGGCTCCTGAGCCCAGTATCAGTGGCGAGACCTCAACGAGCTCTTACAAATTGGCAACATCACTGTCTTAAATTTTGATGGTTCGGAAAAGAACTAGTCTCTCTCTACCGTACTCCAAATACATTCGATCAGAAGTAAACTGCGTTTAGCTTCTGACGCTTTGTAACACGAATGGAACAGCTACTCGCTTCTTTGTATCATGTGGAATGAAACAGATGATCGTGTGCTCGCAGCAAGAAAAGCAAAGACCCAGCAAAGATCAACCTTTCTCTTCCCGATAAGGAATATGGAAGTACTGGATACCATTTTATGCTTCGTGGGAGTTAGGACGGAATATATCGGAAAGGTTTCGTTGCTCCTCTCCTAACAAGAAGCAAAAGACCACTTGGTTCATGCAAACGAATAAACATGCAGGCTGCTACATCGTTCAACAAGACATGAAATGGCTCCCGTCTTCTCGCCTAAGCCTCCTCCCATCTTCACCTAGCAGAGAGAGAAACTGTTCTGTCTCTCCGTATTCACAGGACAGAGAAAAGCTGTGGCTCTTGAAACCATGAGCAGAAACAAAAAGGCTCCTTCAGTTGATACTCCAAAATACAAGAGCGTCATTTAAAAAGTATACCATGCGAGAACTCTTTTATCTATGAGCGAGGTACTATAGATTTAGACAAGACTGTTCTAATGCAGATCCAAAGCCTCCACTGACTATAAAATTCAGCCACAACTATACAACAAGAACAACTACTAAACACAATTCAATAATACCGCTTCTGGTACTGCTGCAAGTAGAATTGCAACAAGAACAACAGGTAATAGAGACAACATGTGTTCCACCACCATCAGAGCTACTACGAATAATAACAAGAATGCCGGTATATTGGTACAATAAGTCAAAAAGAAGCATTAAGCATAACAACAAATAACAGTTAAAACAATAACACAATAACAATCAAATCCTGGCATCTATAAGGAATGCGGGGACAAGATAATTTTAGTGACATTTACAATCCCTGCCGATATTTTCGCATCTGAGGTTGCCAAAATGTTGCCAGGCTCAAACTTCCCCAAAAAATCCAAAGCCTGAAATGAGAAAACATTGGCAGGAATCAAATTTCCCCAAAGTTCCCAAAATCCTGGCATCTATGGGGAGCCCGGTAAGGAATCTTGGGGAAAATTGATCCCTGCCCGATGTTGCTCGAATTTCCCAAAAAGTCCTGAAGCCTGAAATGTAAAAACATAGATGTGTGGTGAAGTTTGCCCAATTTCTGCGAGAACAGCGAAGGCAGCAAGCCTCATTGGTGTAGCTAGTCATCTTTGCTCTAGCTGGTAGTAGATGTGTATCCGAAGAGTGTCATGGATTGTGCTGAGGTGCTGTCCCTCGCTGAGGGAGCCTGGGGGTTCCGGTTTGTAGTGGGGGTAGTTGTGGTGTGAGTGGTCGAATCCCCAGCTGAGTAAACCAGGCTCCCGACATCATGCCTCCACCAGCTTGTTTTTCCGGACACCTTATCAGGCGAAGGAAAAGAGGTGATAAAAAAAAAGAAATGCAAAACATTGGCAGGGATCAAATTTCCCCAAAATTCCTAAGATCCTGCCATCTATGGGGAATGCAGGGCTATAGTTGCTCAGTCACATTTTTGGGATTTTGGAGAAATTTGAGATGTTTTCGCATTTCAGCCTTCAGGAATTTTGGGGAAATTTGATCGCCGCAGATGTTTCTGCATCGGAGGTTGTTAAAGTGCTGCCAGGCTCGAATTTCCCCACAATTCCTGAAGCCTGATATGCGAAAACATTGGCAGGGATCAAATTTCCCCTAAATTCCTGGATTCCTGGCATCCACTGGGAATGCGGGGCTGTCGTTGCTCAGATTTTGGGAATTTGGGAGAAATTTGATCCCTGCCGATGTTTTCGCATGTCAGGCTTCAGGAATTTTCGTGAAATTTGATCGCCGCCGATGTTTTCGCATCCGAGGCTGCCCACGTCCCATAATCCACTGCTTACAAAAAGCGGGTTCGGGTGGATCATGGGGGGGGGGGGTGAGCATATACATGCACATTATACATACATCCCGAGAAGCGAAAGCCCTCAGCCTCAGCAACGAAAAATTTAAGCCTTCACGTCCTCGTCAGGGAGCAATAGAAGCTTCGAGCATATCCTGCAACTGCACTCACCAGAACCAAGACAGTCAGAAATCCCGAATACGATGACCTCGGGCAGCCCGATGGCCTTTAAGTCCATCCTGATGCCCTGAAGGATTGTATAAATCCCAAGCCCGAAGGTCGACCGGTCCCGGCCCCGCCTCAGGGTGTGGTGGCCTGGACCCTAGCAGAACCTGCAGACTCTGCTTGTTCGGGAACAGCCCCGGCCCTTCCTTCGGAAAGCTCTGTTGGCTAACGTTTCCGGCTTCTGGGCCCTGGTTTCAGGGCGCAGGGAGGTTTTGGTTCAAAGAGGAGATCATTATTATGGCATGTAGAGTTTAGGGCTTAGGTTCGAGGGTTGTGACCCTTCAGCAAGGGAAGCCCCGTGAAGATTGTAGGCTCGCGTCCAAAAATTCGAGCTGAGATGATTTAGGTGTCGATGCATGAACATGACTGAAGGAGTAGGAAAG